GTATTTTTTTGATCCAATTTATCCTTAAAATTTGGTTTCAAAAAGGTTTGTTTTGAGATTTCTAGGAAAGGGTTTGAATATTTGCCCAACGGGGTTAAAAAAACCCTGGGTCCCCAACTGCTAAAATATGGTTTAATCCTTGTTAACAGAAAGGGGTCACATTTTTTGCCTCACCTTTTCTTTGAATTTTGGGTCAAAATTTGCTTGTCTAGGAAATTTTTTTGGGAAATTTGATTTAAAAAAAAACAGGGTAAAGCGATCTGGGGGCCATCGTGGCCCCCCTTGTTTTTATGAACCCCTTTTTCCCCCAGTAAAACCAGGACAAATTAAAAAGCTGGGGCAAAGGGAATTATAAAAATTAAGCAGGTTGACGGGGTTACTTAAGATTTAATACGGCTATTTTTAGACTGAATGAACAAAAATTTTTTCTCCAACCCCCCGGGTTTGTTTAATCTCAGGGAGTGCCCTTTAATAAGAAAGATATCTAGCTAGTTTTTGTGGGAGTTTTCGAAAGGGTTATTGTCCGCCTGTGTTTGAAATAATGAATAAAGTGCACATGTGGGCTCAGCAGGCATGTTACAAAAAGCCCTTACCAAACATTTTCAAATTTTTATGTAGAAACTTAACCATTTGTAAGTTTATCACAAATTTTTGATAAAAGTTTCTCATCTAAAAAGGGTTTAGGGCAAGATTCTATCAACATTTTTTTATCCGGCTGCTTCCCTTCTCCGCAAACTCATAAAAGTTGTAGGTAGTTCACAGAAGATTAAAAACCCCCCAATAGAAGCATATAGTGTTGGGTTATTCTACAGTAAAACTCCAACTTTGTATCGATATCGCTTGTAAATGATAATCGGTTTTAATCGATTTTGTTTGTCTTGGTCCCCTCCAACTTCCATTAAATTACCTAACGGAAGCATCCTCGCATATATCGGACTATCGAGACGATATTTCGGGTATTATCGATGGGGAAATTTTAAACCCCCAAACCCGAAACATAAATTACCTTTAAAAACGATAATTGTTTGCCCCAATTTTTGTTGTAAGACCCCGGTTCCCCGCTTTGTTTTTAAATTTCCCCCAATAAAATCCCCCTTGATTAAATAAAAGGGACCCGGAACATGTTCTTTTCCCGTACTAACTACCGTTTTGTTCTCAAAAAGGGGTATTTTCACGGGAAAAAAAAAAAAAAGAAATTGGTTTTTGTCCTTTATTTTTCCTTTCAAAAAACAATTTTCGTTGTAAAATAATTTAATGCCCCTGTACCCTTAAAACACTAAAAGGAAAAGGAAAAAATTTTTTAGCAAAACAAAGCAAGGCCCAAAATAAAGGGTGTTTTACGGCGAAAATAGGCCCGGTTCGGATAAACTTAAACTTTTGGATAATCGGAAAATTAAAAAAATCCAAAGATTCTTTAAAAAATTTAAAAGTTTGCCCGAGGTAGATTACGAAGCTAAACTTCCCGTGGTCTTGGAATGAACTCAGAAATATTTATTCAGTTTGGGCTGTGAAAAAAAATTTTGGACAAACGTATACACGCCTTGGAAAAAGATCTGTTCTATTGGGTTTGTTAGAAATTGCCCCGCCCCCTTCCGAAATCGAGGGATTAAAAGCTTCCTGAAAAACTGTTGTTTTTCCACCCTAACACTAACATCAATTACAGCCCTGATCAAGGGTTTCCTTTTAAAATTCAAAAAAAAGCATTACAGGTCACGGTCCTTGACCATATTATTTAGTCTAGGACAAACATATCGATAAAACAGATTACATTCTTAAAAGCCATACAATGGTTTTATGCGGCATGGAAAGATTAAACACCGACGTGTAATCCGAATTGTTTTAGAAAAGGCTGGTTTATGAATCAAGCAACGCATGAAATTAATGGCGACCGTGCTACGCCGCAGGGGCTTGTTTCCCCGGATTCGTCTGACACAAGTGTTACAACCATATTAACTTTGGGTTTATGTCATTTTGGGTTTATTTTGATTGCCAACTGGATTTTTTTAATGCATTTCAACATTAAATATGCATAAAAAGAATAAATTTTTGTCGTAAGTACTGATTGTCACATGGCTCTATATATAATGCTCTACTGTCTTATACAGGTTGAACATGCAGTGCATCGTATTAAGCTACACATAACCGTACAGAAATTTCGATTTAACGATATTCAGAATAACATATAGGTTTGTATGTTTCCCCTGAATATTTATAAGCCGGAGTTTACTGTATATAAAAATGGAGAATTGAAACACCAGATAATATACAATGGTTTTTATTTTACACTTAAATGAATGAAACAAATTCGTGGTCTAAAAAAAATAAGAATGTATGAAAAATATGATATAGTGGAAATTTTTAATTTTTTTTGCAGCGGGCCATTTCATCATCGGAGGAAGTTTGGGGTTATGCAAACATTGAGAGAACTCAAGGGATTGACAAAAAAAAACAACACCAACTGGGACTGGGATTTTTTATTGAAATTTTGTTCTTAAGGTATGTTCTGGTACAAATGTTGTCAAATAAAAAAGATAATTAATGTTGAAGACAATACATTTCATTCACCAGGAATTTCCTATTTGTTTAAGCGGCATTATGTTTTCTAAATATGGTGAAAATGGACTTTACTTTTTTTTGAAATAAGAAACTGTTGTGTAATGTTTGTTTGGATTATTATTTTAAAATTTTGTAAAATACTACAGGCAATTTCTGTGCAGTCTTGCTATAATTGCTAAATGGTTCAAGTTGTTTGATGCATTTCCCTTGTAGAATAATAATTAATTTTTCAAGTTAAGGGCCTTTAGTTTTGACATTGCTAATTTGCTTTTTGAATGCCATTAGATATAATAACATTTTCGTGTTGTTAAATTTCTACAGTGGCCCAGATGAAAAACTAAGAAAACTAGAGGATCAGGCAACATGTCAGGTTTAAATTTTCGCTCATTTCAATTTTTATATTTCTGTGGAAGAAATAATTATAGTTTTATGTAGAAATCATTTTTAGTGATCAGTAAAGTCCTGAATTATCATTAATATAAGTAAAGTTCAATTAATACTATTTTCTCTCTTTCAGATTTATAAGAGATAGTGTTTTTTTAAAACGCCTAAAACCAGGTGTTTTCCTCGGGATGCCAATCAAGACCAGGAGTTTCACAGGAAAATTTGCTTTGGGCGGTTTGCCAGCTGGCTGATTTTTCTTATCAGATTGTGAAAGGTATTGGCCAGGAATATATGAATTTATATGTGTTGACATTGTAAAAAGAAATAGGAATATCTCTAAATAATACCATTCATTGAAATTGTAAACGTTGGGGGCCTAAGTTGTTTGCTGGGTTTTTTTTTAATTCGCTAAATTAAAACCTATTTAAAATGGCTATTTGTCTTGATAATTTGGGAAATTCTTTTTGCTAATTATTAATTTTAAACTGTCACTAAGACTCTTGTCAAAGTTCTTTTTCAAAGGATTACAATGTTTCAAAAGAGTCACATTAATTTGAGATTAATCAGTGGCAAATTTTTCCAGCCATTAATTTACAATTTTAAAAAATTGCTTTTTTTTTTTTTTGCCTTTTGAGATAATTTGCATCATAATTATTTAATAAAATAGATTTTTCAATTAATTTGTTTTACAGGAGGAAGGCACTAAAAATCTTAAAACCTGTATTAAATCTTAACAAGATATTGGGCTTTAGTTTTATCTGAGGTAAGTGAACATGTTTACTGCTTTATGACATAAATATTATCATTACTAATTATTCTTAAGATGAGTATTAAGTAATTCTTGTGTTTCTGAATTTTTGCATCAAGGGGACTGTTTTTAATGACCATATTCCAAACACGTACCTAGTATTCTTATTGCAGGAAAGCATACTGCAAAAGTAATTTGATATTTAATTATAACCTGGTTTACCACCAAGCTTTTCTTTAAGAGAAAATACTGGAACAAACAGTAAAACCTAAAGGGCCACTAAGTCCTTTAGAAAGTGGATTGGATTAATAGTATTAAATTCAGAGCTGTCCTCATTAATTTTCAAGCAATTATCTCAAAAAAGGGTAGTTGAAATTTCTTTTTATTGTGCATATTTTAAATGAATTATTTGTGCTTTTAAAACCCAGATTTTAGTGGTTGATTTGAAATTTCCCATTTTTTTTGTACAATTAAAAAAGTATCATTTAAAAATCTTTTCTGCCACTACTTATCGGGGGTGGGGCCACTTAGCCAATCCCCTGGTCAGTCTTCATTGCTGTCTTGTCCGGTAGACTGACCAAAACGTGGAAATGGGGAGACCATATTTTTTTAGTTTAGGTAGGAACATTTAATATTGAAGGTTGCATTAAACAGAGGATAGCCCACCAAAGTCTGTATTGATGTAAATAATGTTATTAAGTACACACTGATCATTATTACTTCCCTGTTTATGGGGAGATTTTCTTTGACATTCTAAAGGAGATAGACAACTGGAGAAAGCTGTAATTACCAACAGTAAGTATACTTATTAGTTAACTACATGGTATGCCTTAAATTTTTAGTAATTTTTTGTTCATTTAAAAAAAGATCGGTTTTCTAACCCAAATGGACCAATAAGCCCCAATTTGTCTGTATTTTACAAGTGATTTCCTTTTATAGTAATAAATAATTCCCATATTTGTTCCAGGCTATTAGATCCTGTTTGTATTCAATTTGTTTATCGTTAACCCGTTTATCTGCTGGACCTGAAAGTTATTAGTATTTGCCCACCAACCAGTATAGAGCCAGGCATTCCCCTTCACATTCTTGCTGTAATGACTGAATAAATTTAATTTTCATTTGAAATATCCCAAAAAATTGGGAATACACAATTTTAGAAATGGAAGCTGGACAAGTTCATTTTTCTAATATTCAGCTTCATGAGACAATTATTGGAATTCAGAATGGATAAGCTATATTATATTCATAGATTTGTTCAGAATTTGGTGAGAACATCTGTTTATTTAAACTTTATTTCAGTTTTTCTAGACCATAGTATCATCAGCACCTCAGGAATGCCTATGTTAAGCTGATAGCTTCATGTTTATATTATGGTAGAGACGGTAACTGTAGAGCTGTCCTCTCTAAAGGCTCTGTGTGCAGGATCAGAGGAGTAACATTCTCTTGTTACATCTACACACTGAACTATTAAGTTTTCTGTTAGTCACATGTTTCTTTATTATACCCCCACAAACGAAGTTTAGGGGGGGGGGTATATAGGAGTCAGCTTGTCGGTCGGTCCATCGGTCGGTCCACATCATGGTTTCCAGACGATAACTTAAACTAGAGTTTGGAGTGAGGTATTGAAATCAAACTTGGTATATAGCAACCTTATGTGGAAACCCCGGTTGGTATTGCATTTGGACCCCCTGGGGTCAAGGTCACCGTTACTAAAAATAGAAAAATGGTTTCCGGACAATAACTTAATTTAAGAATGAGATATTGTAATCAAACTTGGTGTACAGCAAGCTTATATGAAGACCCCTGTTGGTATTGCATCTGGGGCCAAGGTCAAGGTCACCGTTACTAAAAATAGAAAAATGGTTTCCGGACAATAACTTAAGTTAGGAATGAGATATTGTAATCAAACTTGGTATATAGCAAGCTTATATGAAGACCCCGGTTGGTATTGCATCTGGGGCCAAGGTCAAGGTCACCGTTACTAAAAATAGAAAAATGGTTTCCAGACAATAACTAAAGTTAGGAATGAGATATTGTAATCAAACTTGGTGTACAGCAAGCTTATATGAAGACCCCGGTTGGTATTGCATCTGGACCCCCTGGGGCCAAGGTCAAGGTCACCGTTACTTAAAATAGAAAAATGGTTTCCAGACAATAACTAAAGTTAGGAATGAGATATTGTAATAAAACTTGGTATGTAGCAAGCTTATATGAAGACATAGGTTGGTATTGCATCTTGACCCCCTGGGGCCAAGGTCAAGGTCACCATTACTAAAAATAGAAAAATGGTTTCTGGACAATAACTAAAGTTAGGAATAAGATATTGTAATCAAACTTGGTATATAGCAAACTTATATGAAGACATTGGTTGGTATTGCATCTGGATCCCCTGGGGTCAAGGTCACCATTTTTACTAAAAATAGAAAAATGGTTTCTGGACAATAACTAAAGTTAGGAATGAGATATTGTAATCAAACTTGTCGTTAGCAAGCTTACATGAAGACCGCGCTTGGTATTGCATTTGGACTCCCTGGGTTCAAGGTCACAGTTACTAAAAATAAAAAAATGGTTTCCAGACAATTACTAGGGTTAGGAATGAGATATTGTTATCAAACTTGGTGTATAGCAAGCTTATATCAAGATCCTTGTTGGGATTGCAATAAATTGAAAGAATTCTTTGTACACAGTGCTGATGGTACTTTATTTACTGTAGGTTTATTTCAAATTTTTCTTCAGACAACTTATTTTTCAAAAGTCAAAGTTGCTGGTGGGGGTATTAATCACCTTCAGTGATAGGTCTAGTTATAACTGATGTCATGTTTGATAACCTACCACTATTGCATACACTCAAATTACACAACTGTGTGTATTTGTGTTAAATACAACATATAGCCCGGGTTCTATCACAGTACTTAACCTTTGTCGGAAAATATTCAAATATAAATATCATACATGAATGAGATTTTTCTTCTGTCTAATAAGTGAACTATTCCCAGAACTGTTTGTCAAAAAATTATTTCAAAAGATCCAATTAAAATGACATTTTTTAAAATATTTCCAATGTAGGCAATTTTGGGTAATTTCTGATGAAGTTACTATGGTATCAAGGTAATCCCCAAAAATGCAAGTATGGAAGGATAGATGGGTCAAAATCTTCAAGTTATGTTATGAAAAACTTCCAACAGTTAACTTGCTATAAAATTCAAACTATATGAACAGATGATATGTCAGTATATGTGATTATAACATATTTTAATTGACTGTGTAAAAACATATTAGGAAAATAGTAGTAAAATATGACGATTTTATAAAATATTTTGCTTGTCACGAATACATTCATTATTTACAAAATTGAATTTATTGGCAGATGAAAATGATTTTAGTGTGCCAGTTTTAAAAATATTAGCATCATTGTGTGTTGCTTTTACTAGCAGTCACAGAAAATGTAAATACCGTGATATCATAGAACCCGTGATATCATAGGAACCATGTATACAAATAGAAGTTTAAATGTGCCAGCATGTGTAAATACCTGATCATGAGTGGTAATTGATCTTTTCAACTTTGTTGATTACCTACCACTATTGTATACAATTATATTATGTTACTTTGTGTAATTGTTTTAAATACAAGATGTAGAAATAAATGTGAAAATCAACAGCATGTGGAAACTCGTGATCATAAGCAATAAATTGTCTGTCAACTTTGTTAAAAAGTATTTAACATTTGTTTTTACAAGTTTATCATTAATTATTGAAGCAGATATATTTATTTATGTAATAAATCTTTTACCTAGGCTGGAAGACTTTACAGTACTAAAATGATGAGAGTATTTTTACGTGCCAAAGTGAAGGACTTTAACACATGGGGTATAGAGTTCCTGGTTGGTCAGTTATATGATCAAAGTCGAAGTGTTGCCATGACAGCCCTAACAATACTGGATGAGGCTTGTGAAGTAAAGGTAATTTAAACATTTATTTAAGTATGTTCAATTCTTTCATCTGAGAACGCTATCCAGCTAGCTTGTTAGCATTGATACTGGATAAAGAGGAGCATTTGGTGTCTTGTCACCAATAAAAATACTCCGGTGCCCACTAATGCCTGAAATAATACATGGAGAGTTATCTTAGGTCTTCCTCCACAAGTAAAGCTGGAAAGTCATCATATGACCTTAACAGTATTTGCCCAAACAATCATTTAATCCACCAGTAAGTCCAGAAGGTGCAGTGTCTTGAACACCAACTAGTAGTTGACAATAAAATGATGTCAATCAAAAAATAAAGGGTCAGTGTTACAAGGAGTTGAATTGCTCATTTTGACTTGATATAACATAGTCTCCTTAATGCAAGTCTTTAATTTTACTTAATACTATTGCTGTTAGTGCTTTTGATTGGTGGAAATTTATCTGTACATAAACTTTAACTCTAGTTATAGAATGAAAAGAATTTAATAGCCTTACATATTAAAGAAAGAATGTGTGTTTTCTTACTTTAAGGAAAATTTGGAATCTGTGGTAAAGATGAAGCCATCATTTTTGCACCTCGGAGAGAAAGGCGTGATGATACTGTGTCGCTACATGTCCACACCTGCAGGCTTCAAGTTCTTAACTGATGCAAACTATACTCTTAATGAACTGAAGAAATGGCATTCTGTAAGTAATCTTATGTATTGTTAACAAGCCTTGGTTATTTTAGTACATCAAGGGAACGTTTAACACCAATGAAATAAAGTGTAATTTCAGTTCATCTAAGGAACAAATTGCCAAACTTGAACACTTATTCTACATATTTCATTTCATCAGTAATGACTTAAAACTTAACTGATTATAAATAATTTTATTAATCTAACCTGTTAAGAGTTAGTACATGATTTAACACTGCACTTCAATTGTAATTAAATTTGTTGTCCATGCAAGTACAGTGTGGTTTGAAATGATAATTGAAACACTCCACTTTTCATATCTTTATTTCTTGTGTGGAAAAGTCAATGTAGGTTTGAAACTAATTAACATTAATTTAAGACAAAAATGTCCATATGTAATTTATACTGATTAGCTCTTGTAAAACTATGCTTAAATGAACATGTATAATGGCAAGATAATATTTCTATACAAAAGATAGGTTTTGTTAATAAGAATGGAATATAGTTCAAAGAATGTTTGTAACATTGTGCATATTTTTTCCAGACATTTAATACCCGGTATGTTCATATGGTTGAAGAATTGTTGAATGAAGCTTTGACCACATATGAAAAAACTTATGAGGGGTCCTACACCAGGAGATCTAGTAAAAGGTAAGTTTTGTCCATTATAAATATCTAAAATAAAGAGTTTGCTTATGATTTCTTACTTTTGTTACTTGCCCTTAAAAATGAGATTTTCAAAGTGTTTTTCACTTTCATGTTCTTTACAAAATAAGCTCTGTTTGTGTTTTGTTATGTAAATATACATGTAGTATGTTATAATCTCTTGGTTAGAGGCGTCCGTGGCCGAGTGGTTAAGGTCGTTGATTTCAAACTACTTGCCCCTCACCGCTGTGGGTTCGAATCCCGACAGGGACTTGGATTCTTTCATGTGAGGAAGCTATCCAGCTAGCTTACGGAACGTCGGTGGTTCTACTCGGGTGCCCGCTCGTGCCTGAAATAATGCACAGAGGGGCATCTGAGGTTTTCCTCCACCAGTAAAGCTGGAATGTCGTGATATGACCTATACTGTGTCGATGTGACGTAAAACCCAATCAATCAATCTCTTGGTTATAATTATTATGGTCTATTTATGTCATATGATTTGGTTAGATTGTCTGTTATTTTACTGACAGACATATACAATTTGCCTGTTTTGTGTTGCATTTTAATAAACAGTTAATTCTGTTATACAATTCTTAAATATAGCAATGATTGTTTTTAGAACAGAATGTTTTTATTAGTTTTCTTTAAGTTCATTATCATTGTTTATAAACTGAATTTGATAGAGGGGTTAAGTTATCTTTGTATATTAATGCAAGGTTAATAAAATGAGTTATTAGAAATGTAATCAAATGTTTTATATACATGTATTCCTACTGTGTACATATTTAAGGAGACAGAGGAAAGATGTATTTGTGCCAACACATCTATATGGAGAACTTGTTCAGCATAAAGACAGTTTTAATCTTCTTAGACAACAGGTAGGTATTCTGTTTATTTCATTTTATTACATGAACTCAGAGTAAAGGGGTAAAGAGATAGTTAGCATTGGCTTTGTTATCTTGTTTGAAGGTAGATGTAAAATGTATGGCACTTGTTACAAATTCTAAGTTGAAGATATGGCTGAACATACTTAACCTCACATATGTATAAAAACAGTAAAGTATGACTATGCTAAGTTACAATTACACAGTTTTGTCATATACTTTACCAAAAATCTACTGTCTTTGTCAACATTTTGTTATTAACCTCTGTTTATTGACTGATATCTTTGTTATTAGGTGTAATAGAACTGTCTATGGACATATACCCTTGTTTGGGATTTCAGGTTGTTTAGGTCAAAGTCAAGGTCATTAGGCTTAAAATAGATTGTCCCAATTCTCCTCTTAGTAAGTTAATGTATATAAAGAGCTTGCATCAATTTTCCTGTTTGTAATGAAAGTTTAATTTGTTTACTTTATACATACATAGATGACTATTTAGTAAGTTAATGTATATATTACAAACAAGTAAATTGATATCACTGATGAGAGCTCATCAGTGATAACACTTTACTTGTTTGTAATGAAATCTTAATTTGTTTATTTTAGACATACATAGATGACTATTTTGAGTGTATCAGATGTCAGGAGTTGAAAACTGAAGACGATATATTACACCTGAAGACAGCACTTTGGGCTGTGGTATGTAAATAAATCTTGTAGCATGTTTATATTTTTGCCAGTATCTCTACCTTTACAGTGTGAAGCTGTAAATCAATAACTATGTTTATAATTTAAGTGGCAAATGTTCTGCAATAATAATATCAGTAGTACTAATGGTATTCTTAATTTGGTTTGATACATAGTTACACTTATTGTTCAAAAGTTATGGAAAAAAATTGTCCATAACTGATTAATTAATTCTTTAAATAAAAGTGGTGTTTTTGTACTTTAATTTCCATTTATCTATAAGAAAGCCTCCTTATTTATTTTATATGTTCATGTTGATACCATTATCATTGTATACTTACAGTTATAATGATTATTGACCGGTTATATGGCCAAATATAAATAGTTGTAAGCTTATATAACACAAGTTGCTAGGAGAAGTTAAGTAGCAACCAACTGTTTATGGCTTTATAACCTGTCAAAAGGCTATATAACAACTTAATTATACTTGGCAATTGATTTCTTTGATTAGAAATAAAATTCTCAACCTTCTTATATATGAATAACATAATTGTCACAATTGTTTAACAATTGTCCAATGAAAATGCATGTTACAAACTTGAAGTATCAGAAATTTTTATCAACATGTATTTGGCTTTTCCAGTGTTCAAATTTTTTTGTTGTAGGGTCACATCAGTATGTCATCATGGGGTGTATCATGGCTACAGGAAGAAAAAATAGTTCCTGAGATAATACGTTTAGCAGAGGAAAGTGCTATCTATTCAATCAGAGGGTAAGCATTGCTAGTTATACTAACCAATGCTATTTCAAATGTTATATAGATTTACTAATACCAGGTAAAATAAAATGTTACACAAAGTTATATAACCGAAAGTCCCATACAATATCAAATGTTATATAGAGTTTCTAAGTCCAGGTAAACTAAAATGTATATGAAGTAATATAGTACAGGCAGTCAGATGTTGCATAAGGTAAAATAGGGCAGGTAATGTCATGTTTTAAATGAAGTTATATAACCCAGGTAATATCAATCTTACTTTAAGTTGTATACCCCAGGTTCAGTCAAATGGGTTCCATATGGCTGTGTTGTTAATGTTACTGTTTTCAAATTACTTGCCACACACAGCGCTCGAGTTCAAATCCTTTGAAATCCTTTGAATTCATTCATATGAAGATCCTAATCAGATTGCTAACAGGAGGTGGGTAGTTCTGCTCGGGTATTGTGGATAAAATAATGCAGTCTTCCACTTTCAGTAAAGCTGGAAAGTTATAATTTCTTCAGTGGCAGTATGACTTAAAAGTCAACATATACATAAGTTAACAAGTTGGTTTTCCGACAATAATTCAAGAACATTAACGATATTTTAAAATATTTAAATAAAAATAAATGAAGTCTATAAAGATCTGATAGTAGAATGTGATCCTATCATTTTGATCAATTACTAAAATATTGAATGTTTTAAAAGACAGATTTCCAGAGTTTACACAAAAAAGGTGTGTTTGTTTAATTAACCCAAATACTTTGAAACTTCGTAAGAGACACATTTTATATTTCAGGACATGTATATTTATTCTGGGAATGGTATCAAGTACAAGGGAAGGAGCAGAAGTGCTATCTCAATATGGGTGGGAGTCACGGTGGAACACAAGAGCTGAACGCTGGCCTCTTGTAGAGGATAGGTCTCTGTTACTTGAAGACTCCATGGAAGATATGCCAACAGAAGCTGGATTTAGCATTGGTAATAACAGACTGGAACTAGGCAGCCCTGTGAGCAATCTAGATTATATTGCTGAAGAGCACTTTCATTCGAGAAAACCAGGAAAATCTTTTAATAGTAAAACTGATGACGATGATGTTGACAGTGAATCTGGGATACATATTCCTGATGTAAAATCTCATGGACTTGCAAATAGTCCTGAGCTAACAAGGCAAGGAATTCGGCTTAAAAGTCAAACACTACCTTTACCAGGGCATAGTGGTTCTAAACATCACTTTCCATTTAGGTCACATACATTTAGAAGCATAGCTTTACCCCAGTTTATAAAAGACCGTACAAAAAGTTTTGAGCACATATCAAATCAACATAAAGACTTTCGAATTTCGCATGAACACAGGAGCCACAGTTTTCATTTTCATTTGAAAAGCAGGCACAAAGGTGACTCCCATAAACATAAAAGTGAATCACAAAATGAAAAATCTGTGATAAACAATAACAATAGTATAAAAAGCATAGATGCAGCTCCTCGTAGAAGCTCTTCAATGAGACATGTGAAGGAGGAGAGTTCACACATACGTCCAAGATCTTCTTCTGAATACTCTTCCACTCATACAAGTGCTAAACAATCTAGTAGTGTTGAACATATGCATAAAACAAAACCAGACAATAAAGCAGAATCTTCACAGAAAGATGTTGTTCTTAAGATTGTGGAGCCAGGTGATGATGGCTATAAAGCTGAAGATGCTAAACCAGAAGATAAAAAAACAGTAACAGACCGTGTAGAAGCAGGTAGAAGTATCAGAATTAGTGTCACAGACACCGATTCCGAATCTCCCGACGCTGAACTGAATAATCAAAACCAATTTGAACAAAATAAAACCATTGAAAGTAGTGATAAAACACATGGAAATGAAAGTCATGTGGTGCTTGACAGTACAGAAAATGTGTGTGAACAAAGCTCAAATGATGATGGGACAGCTGATGGAGGTGCTAGTAAAAAATCAGATGTTGAAAAAGATGAAAGGTGTTTTAGAAAAATCAGTATTATGAAAGAGGAACGTAGCAGTAGTAGTGACAGTTCCAAAACTAGTAAAAGTCGAACAGAAAGTTTTACTACAGACTCTACTACCAGTGGTGTTGGATCGTACGACTCTGGCCACCATGGAGTAATTGAGTTCCCCTCGTTAAGTCCAATAGCAAGTTCAAACTCTCTTGAAACAATGGATGTGCAATTACGCCATAAAGAAAAGAAAGAACTTAAAGATAATGCTCATCATTCATCTTTCTTACGTAGAATGTCAAATCTTACACGTGTTCCGAGTATAAGAAGACAATCTAGTCCAGGTGTTGGCCTTATGCCAACTTCTAAATATTTTGACTTCTCAGAAAATGCCATAATGTACACTACAGCTCGTGATGCTATTGGTTATGCGACTTTACGTAACTTAATGAAGACTCGGACAATAAGTTCCGATGTAGAGTCAGATTATGGATTAAATTCACTCTATGATAACATGGGAAGTATGACTAGTATTAATAGGAGACCCAGTATAGACAGTACTATAACACCAGGGAGACCTTCCAGGTAAGTTAAAATACTGCACACTTTACATCAAATAAATTTCTTATTTGATATATATATACATTGACTTACTCAGAATTCTGACCAAAAAAAAATTGCAGTCTTAATGATTATTATTACTTTTTAGCCCGACTATTGGCAGAATAATCGAGCTAATGCAGTCACCCATTTGTCTGTGGTTAAGTTTTTGCGTGTAAGCTGGTATCTCCATAACTACTGAAGGGAATGGATTGAAACTTCACACACTTGTTCTCTGTGATTATCTAAGATGATTGGCACAAGTTCCATAACTCTGATTTGCTTTTTTACATAATTATGCCCCTTTTTCAACTTAGAAATTCTTGGTTAAGTTTTTGTGTGTAAGCTGGTATCTCCAAAACTACTGAAGGGAATGGATTGAAACTTCACACACTTGTTCTCTGTGATTATCTTAGATGATTGGCACAAGTTCCATAACTCTGATTTGCTTTTTAACATAATTATGCCCCTTTTTCAACTTAGAAATTCTTGGTTAAGTTTTTGCGTGTAAGCTGGTATCTCCATAACTACTGAAGGGAATGGATTGAAACTTCACACACTTGTTTTCTGTGATTATCTAAGATGATTGGCACAAGTTCCACAACTATGATTTACTTTTTTGCATAATTATGCCCCTTTTTCGACTTAGAAATTCTAGGTAAATTTTTGCTTGTAAGCTGGTATCTCCATAACTACTGAAGAGTTTGTACCTTTTCGGACAATTTTATGTATTCATATAGGTAAGCATTATTATACTCAATGGAACACCCTTGTGACAACTTTTCGAATAGTCGAGCGTTACTGTCCTACGACAGTTCTTGTTTTTTTTTTTTTGCAAAAATATTCAATTTTTATAAAAGTGACTTATATTAGGTAGATAAGTGTACTTTTACTCTCCAAATTGAAGTGTTCTTCTTACAAAAAATTACTCTTTGTATTTATTTATATTAAGTTCAAATAATACATTGTTTGAATGAATTTTAACTATACTCTGTATAACAGCCATCTATATTAACATAGTATTTAAGTGAAATAGAATATGAGTTTTATTGATTGTTATAAAGATTTTTGGCAGGATATGGCCCTATGTAAAAGGTTGATTACATATAATGGGCTTGGGTTATAATGCAAAGAATAGTAATTATTTGGTTACATGTATATGGGTGTCAAGAATTTTTTTATAAAAAAATTTATAAAACAGCAAACTTCCTTTATTAGTGAAAAGAAACTGCAAAAGTTGACAGCAATTGTGTATATAGTTTATAATCATCATGATTATCCAATGAATAACAATGTTACAAGCATGCAGTATTGTACATATGGATATGTTTAAAATTTCAGTCTTATGTTTAATATGAGTGGTTTATCCCTCAGTGAAATGGATAATCCAAATCATACTACCAAAGCTAGTTTATATCAGCATAGGCCTCATACAGGGAAAGCTGAGTTTATGGGAATCACACTTCCTGTTGATATCAATATGATATTTGAGGTAAATTTTCGGATTTATATATCAATGTGATATTTGAGGTAATTTTTCTGATTTATATGTCAATGTTATATTTGAAGTAAATCTCAATATGATATTTGAGGTAATTTTTCTGATTTATATGTCAATGTGATATTTGGGGTAGATTTTCTAATTTGTTTGTCAATATGATATTTGAGGTATTTTTTCTAATTTGTTTGTCAATGTGATATTTGAGGTAAATCTTCTGATTTATATGTCAATATAATAGTTGAGATAAAAAAAATTATGCCAATATATTTGAGATAAATCTTCTGATTTAGCCATGAATAAGTTACTGTGTCTTCCAATGGATGTATGTTTAATGTTTTTATAGGTACATGAAGGAGAAGATAGACGGACAGAATCATTTCTAGGATCTGGTATATCACGACAAGCGTCTGTGGTGAGCCAGTCTTCTATGTCAAAACAGAATTCATTTTCTGAACAATTAGAGGGAAGGATTGCTAGATCAGAGAGTGGGACAGAATACTCGGACAGACTGGAGTTGGAAAGTAAGTTCTCACAGGCTTATCTCTTTAGTAATATATTTATGACTGTAATAAATTTAATAAATAATTGAAGTGCAGTATATAAATGAAGATTCAATGTAGTAAATGAAGACAGAAATGAATAAATTTGATTGAAATTCAGTTTGGTTTCTTAGAAGAATTTATATAAGACTATGTCTTCCATTCTATTCCTTTCCTTTGAATATATGATTTGACTTATATATTGTATGTTTTATAACTGTATTGTGTTGATAAGTATATATTTTGGAAATAAATATGTTTCAACTAAATTGGTTTCTTATAATTGGTTGATAATTGTGAATGATTAAGTACCATAGTATTGACTTTTTTAGGTCGTGGGATTCGGTCACGATCTGGTTCAACAGTAGCACCAACCCCCTTGTCTAGTACCCATAATGTAGATGTTTGTATACAATGTCGAGGTATACGTCAGGAAGCTGTTATACATCCTATAGATGGTAAGGAAGAAAATTTTATTATTATAATTTTACTTTTGATTGTGCATGAAAGCAGTATTTCAATGATGAAAGCACAGGTTTATTGATGTTAAAGAACCCCATTATTAACATTGCCTACAGAACGGTATAAATTTTGTAGGCCACCATGAAGTCTTTATATTTAAGCAACTTTCCAACTAGGGCATGGAAGGTTTTTGGTTTTATTTTAGGGCTTGCATATGTCTCAAAGCAACAGAATCAATGATATAGTTTGATGCCATTTATATAAAACAGGAAACATGTACAAAGTAAAAAAAAAAAAAGAGAAGATATCTTTGGCATTCAATTAAATAAATCCTGAAAATTCACAATATTGGCTTTCAATCAAAAGTAATTAAAAAAGAAAACGAAAAAACACATCATTTTTTGGCATTTCATTTTACATGTAATTGCAAAGAAAAAAATGTCATTTTTGACATTTCTTGAATATAATGCTGTATGAATTTTATTAATGCGCAATTTGTCTTTGGAATTATTATTGTAGGTCAAGCATTCTGACTTAATACTTGTTTTTTTATTAACTTACAAAAATTCTACATTATTAAAGTGCTTAAGTATTAGAGTATAGTCAAATACACTTTTTTACTGGCAGCTCTTGTGTTAATAATAATAAATGTTTAGATGGTTATCAATTATTTAATTTTATTTGATATATATTTTAAAACATTTTATTCTAACTTAAGGGGAGTTGTACTCTATTCATCTTGATTAAAGGATTGCATGTATTATTTCTCATTAACTATTAAAGGTACTCTTGTATAACTTCACTTGTGTCTTATAGCATAATTGAAGATACTGACTAAGATCTATCACTCTAGCATTTATTTTTACTAAATTATTTCCATTTGTGAATTTATGAAATTTTTGGTTGAGTGCATGTTCTATTTATTTAACCACGGAAGAAATTTCATACATTAATTTTTTATGGTCAAAGTTATATGTCACTGCCTAACACACAATCTGATGATGGTTTTTGGTACCAAGTTTTTCCCCGTTGTTAATTTTGAATATTCCTGCATGACATTCATTTTCAGACAATAACAAAAGTGAAGGGTGCAGCTCTGTGATTACTCTTAAGATTGTTTCAATAAAAAAAGAGTTAAAATGTTATAGTTAACACCATTAGAGCCACTTGAAAATTAAAGTTTTAGAACTTATAACTCCAAAGAGAACCTCCAAAAAGAACCAGGGTTCTAGGTTATAAAGAAATGTTCCCAGCTCAAACTCACATTTGATTGGTCAGAAACTGACCAATGAAAATCCTGAGATTTGAGACAGAACTCGGAAAAAAAAAGTTTTATAACCTTGTGGCCAGGATTGAAAAATTCTTTGTTTATCTAAGCATGCTATTAAATTTCTAAACTATATATAAACATTTTTCTGCATGTATCTTCTTTATTTAGAGTCTGAAGTAACAACTGACACATCAGCTACAGGTGTTAAATCTAGTCACCATGGTAATAGAAATCGGACTGGTAGTATAACTGCTGGCATTGAGACATCCAGTAGCTTGACCAGTGCATCAGATTCTTGTAAGCATGTTTGTTTTATTACTCATTCTTCAATACCTATCTTGTATTGTATGTTTAATACTTGTATATATTCCATAGTTGTCAATGAGTTTATCTTTGCTATTAATGCTATAAATGCAAAAATTGAAAATTTAGCTTGTTTATTTTGAAGATATTAAGGAGGGCTTTTGTACTTTCTCAGGTGTGGGTATTGTCATTTGTTTTTGAATCACTTTTGTGTGCAAGGACTATATCTCATTTACAGGTGCTTGTTTTGATTTTAAACAAATACATCTGCATTTCTAATGATAAATAAAACATGCTGGCAGAAAACATTTCAATAAATCTAACATACATATTGTTGGAATAATGGCCAATGAAAATTTAACTATGTAGCTGTGAGAATATTGGAATATCCTCTCCTGGGACAATGCTTGTTCATAAACATGTTTTGCTTTTGCATGCAATATTCAACTGTATAAATTGTGGTAGATATGAAGAAACTTAATTCTTACTAAGAAGATTTCCAGTATGTTCCCATACAAGTAATTAATCATGTATATCCATTAACTACATATCTTTATGTTATGATTTGTATCTCAATTTCTTTCTTTTGTATACTTTAGTAAGAATTTCAACTCAGTTGCTGAGCACATATATCCATTTTGTATGTGTGATATGGTGCTAATTTTATAAAAGCATATTTATAACCTTGGTTCTGATCTTGCCATATAACTTCAGAATAATCCTTAAACTTTCTTTGTGCTCTTCTCCAGTGATAAATAAGGGGGAACAAAAGAAAAACTAGTTTTATTTTCTCCACATTTTGAAGAAAGTTTGAAGATATTGTCATGACTTGGCAGGGTTGGCTTTGGGTAACCTTTTTGGTTAAGTTTTCGTTTATGGTCATAAACTTCAATACTATCAAAGCATCTTCATATGTGGATGCACCTGCCAGACCTATGAGAAAAGTCGAGAAAATTGCTTTTTCAATAGCTCTTGTTTTTAACCTGTATTGTGTTTGATAAAATTATGAGACAATGGTGCATTATGTAACTCCTGTAATCTTAACATAATACTGATAGCTATTTTAATTTGCAGCTACAGGAAAGAAAATTTCATTTGATACGGCAATTGGTCGGACAATGGTAAGGAAGGAGATTATACAGCTGGTCATTAACTTGTCCAGTTCTGTCGGAGTGAAGGGTGCAGAACAAGGTCTACTAAGGTTTGTATATAAATAACATTGAAAGTTACTTAATTATACTTAATATATGTAACTGATATTTGAGCATCATCTCTGATTAAAAAATTCTACATGAAAAAGAGCTAGTAGTAACATAATAAACAGATTTTCATAAGGGTGATTTGCTATTTACAGAATCCTGATTTGCTACTATGTTAACTTTGTGTGATTTAACTTAACTCTTATTTAAGTATTTTATCATTTTAGCTTGAAACAGAAGTTTCCAAAGGCATTCCAGGACTTGTGCTTTTACTCAGAAGTTTCATTCATGCTTGGTACATGTTCATTTCGGCTGACAGCAAGACGATTTATACAAGAACTGTTTGATGAAATTGACAGATCAAAGGTATAAACTCTCATTGTACATACATGTTTATGCCCCCACTTAAAAAGGGTAGATGAGTGTGTCTTTATATTTTGTATATAAACCGGATCTCCATGTTTTTTTTTTCTCATTGGACAAACTATGATTTAGTGTCTGAGGTAGCAGACTAAGTATCACTTAGCCCTTTGAATGTGACGGTTTTAAATCCTTGTGATCAAATATTTGTGGAAACTATCCACCTAGCTGACAATATTTCAGATTCTTCCCTATGTTGGCTTGTATTTGGAATAACATACCAGTATTTAGATACATCAAGGTTCTTCCTTTATTAGTAAAATTATATCAAGTGGTTAGTATGCCAAGTACTAACACATGATGATTTAAGTAAGTTGCCAGGTATAGTTTAAAAACCAATGATTATTATAATTTTACTCTAAAATATATTTTTGACTTGCAATGTATACAACAAAAAATATGAAAGGCATAGAACATTATCTGTATTGGCTCCTTGTATTTCATCTATTTTGTAAGAAATATAAATCAGATTAAACAATTCTTGTCCCATATATTAATGTTATCAGATTAATATTTGAATAATATAAAATGTGACACATAAAAATCAGGGCGTGAATATATTGTGTCTCATTTGTTGTCTACAGCTGATTGAAGAAGCTCACAATATCCTAGGTGTGGAGGATTCGCCAGAGAAACCTGTTGTACTGGACCGCAGCGTGCCCGAGGATTTTGATGGTTTTGAAGATTTTTCCTGACATGAGCTCTCGTTTAGGAATTCTTTAAATTGTCTTCAACACATGTTTAATTTTTCATGTACAACAAGAAAAGAATAACATTAACCTGCTTGAACATTAAGTGAGTAGCTAAGATAGCATGCATTTCCATGCAGTCTGACCAGGCTTTATACTCAGTATATTGTTGGTAGCTCAATTTTTGTATTTTCGTATTGACATCCCCTAAACTATGAATAAAATGTTCCAAATTCAAAGGTAGAAAACTCCAGTGTTCCAAATTCAAAGGTAGGCAACTCCAGTGTTCCAAATTCAAAGGTAGGCAACTACATTATACAGATTCAACAGGTTATGGTTTATACTGTGTTCTTTGATTAAAAAAAAAGTGTGTTTCCTTGATAATAATATGTTTAATGTAAATTGATTCATGGAATATTAGACATTAAAGTTAATTATAAATCTAAATAAAATTGACCAAAGTTTCTTGTCATAAATGTTTGTACAATGAGACATTGATATTTTAATTACTTTTGTTCCATTTTCCATTAAATATCATTTACAATGTATACTTTCCATCTTTTTATTTTGTTCTTGTCATTTGTATATTTCTTGTATTCCTCTGCGACAAGTTTATACAAAAGATTATGGTATGGTGATATGACATTTACTGTTTGTTGTGTATTTTGATGTTCAAATTATTAAGATTTTAATCAGATAAATACTAAAAGGTTTTGTGAAATATAATCATCTGTGAATATGAATGTACATTTGTATTCATTTTTTAAATTGCTCGAATGGTATGATTTAGTGTTTGCTTTAAGATATTTTTGTTATTTGATACTAACAAATGCTCCACAAAATGTTAAAAACTGAGCTACATCTGAATTCTGTATTTATATATTGTTGTTGAGACTTGTACACAATCTGTCAGTGGTGTTTGATTTTGCTATCTCTTATTTATGTTACCCAGTTTGTATATCTTATGTTTAGTTTTAAGGAAAAATTTATAATAAAGACTGGAAATTCAATGCAAAATAATGGTTAGTTCTTAGCTGATGTTTATGACACTAAATGTTTAACATAAATAGTTTGTAATTAAAGTTAAATGTGATAAATTGTATAATTTCCTTTCATTCAGTGTTGTAAGACAGAGGTTCATTGTATTTTAGTGCCAACTGTTCTGATGCAGCCATTTTCATACGCCCAAATACCTTCGGGACATATCATGGTATGGCGATGTTCGTCCATCTGTATACTCTACCAAAAAGAAAAAGGGGGCCATCTAACCATTTAACTGTAAACTGAACAACAGAGAACAATATATTAAATTCTATAACAATAGAAAGGGCTAATGGCCTTCTATTAAACAGAAGAAAATAACAAAAGAAATGGCCTGTTATTCGAATTCGGTTGCAAGTCTGTGTACAAACAATTGGTTTTCTCAGCATATTTTTTCAGTGACTGTGTTCATATTTGACATGTAAGTAAATGTATGTTTATTCAAAACTCAGGTCAAGTTTGATTTTGGTGGCAATCAACTCATTATTAATAGTTATGTCCCCCTCTAAGCAATTTTTCAGTGAAATTATTTGTAGAATAACAAAAACTTTTGAAGGATTTCATTTATTGTGTTAATATTTAACTTGTTTGTTATATTAAAACATAAGTCAAGTTCCATAACTGTTGCAAACAACTCATTTTCAATAGAGTTATGCTCCTTTTTAAGCAGTTTTTAAAGGGAATGGTTACAACAAAATAACATAAGGATTTCAAATATTCTGTTTATATTTGGAATGCAAGTACATGTATATTATACCTAAACAAAAGAAATGTTAAATTTTCATTTCCATGAACTCCTGATTGAAAGAGTTATGCCCCTTTTCCAGCAAATTTTCTGGGAAATTACTGGTTTATACATGTATCAAGTATGTAATATAAGATCCACATTTCATGTCTGAATTCCTCTGCAATCAGCTAATTGCAATCTAAATTTGATTGATTTCTTTTTAACAAAATAATATTAATCTGTAATTTTGAATTATCTTCTATTACTAATATGTTAACTTATAACCTAGAAAAAAATTATACGGTATTTTTCTTTTACATTTGATGGAAAAGTAATAATCTGGGCCATTAACAACTATAAATTTTTCTATTTTTAGCTCACCTGTCACAAAGTGACAGGGTGAGCTTTTGTGATCGCTTTTCGTCCGGCGTCCGGCCATCGTCTGTCGTCCGTCCGTAAACTTTTACTTTAAATGACATCTCCTCATAAACCACTAAGCCAATTTCATCCAAACTTCACAGGAATGTTCCTTTGGTGGTCACCTTTAAAAAATGTTCAAAGAATTTAATTCCATGCAGAACTCTGGTTGCCATGGCAACCGAAAGAAAAAACTTTAAATATCTTTAAAAAACCATAAAAGCTAGAGCTTAGATATTTGGCATGAAACATCTTCTAGTGAGTGTCTACCAAGTTTGTTCAAATAAAAGCCCTGGGGTCAAAATTGGCCCCGCCCCGGGGGGTCATTGATTTTCCCTATATGCATATAGTAAAAACTTAAAAAATCTTTTTTTAAAGAACCCAAAGAGCTAGAGCTAAGATATTTAGCATGAAATATGTTCTAATGGGTGTTTACCAAGTTTGTTCAAATAAAAGCCCTGGGGTCAAAATTGGCCCCGCCCCGGGGGGTCATTGATTTTCCCTATATGCATATAGTAAAAACTTAAAAAATCTTCTTTTAAAGAACTCAAAGAGCTATGGCTAAGATATTGAGCATCAAACATGTTCTAATAGGTGTCTACCAAGTTTGTTCAAATAAAAGCCCTGGGGTCAAAATTGGCCCCGCCCCAGGGGGTCATTGATTTTCCCTATATGCATATAGTAAAAACTTAAAAAATCTTCTTTTGAAGAACCAAAAGAGTTAGAGCTAACATATTTAGCATGAAACATGTTCTAATAAGTGTCTACCAAGTTTGTTCAAATAAAAGCCCTGGGGGTCAAAATTGGCCCCGCCCCGGGGGGTCATTGATTTTCCCTATATGCATATAGTAAAAACTTAAAAAATCTTCTTTTAAAGAACTCAAAGAGCTATGGCTAAGATATTTAGCATCAAACATGTTCTAATAGGTGTCTACCAAGTTTGTTCAAATAAAAGCCCTGGGGTCAAAATTGGCACCGCCCCGGGGTCATTGATTTTCTTTATATGTGTATAGCAAAAACTTAAAAAATCTTCTTTGAAAAAACCCAAATAGCTAGAGTTAAGATATTAAGCATGAAACATCTTTTAGTGAGTGTCTACAAAGTTTGTTCAAATAAAAGACCTGGGGTCAAAATTGGCCCCGCCCCGGGGGGTCATTGATTTTCTTTATATGTGTATAGCAAAAACTTAAAATCTTCTTTGAAAATACCCAAATAGCTAGAGTTTAGATATTAAGCATGAAACATCTTCTAGTAAGTGTCTACAAAGTTTGTTCAAATAAAAACCCTGGCCTGGTCCCAGGGGTGTCATTGTTTTTAACTATATGTGTATAGTAAAAACTTAAAAAAAATCTTCTTTTAAAAAGCCCAATGAGCTAGAGCTTAGATGTTTAGCATGAAACATCTTCTTATGGGTGTCTACCAAGTTTGTGCAAATAAAAGCCCTTGGGTTAAATTGGCCCTGCAACGTTGGGGGTGGGGGTTGGGGGGACCTATATACAGGTGAGCGACCTCAGGGCCATCATGGCCCTCTTTTCTTTAAGGTGCAATTTTGTTCAACATACCTTATTATAAATTTGGCATCGGGCATATATTGCCCGGCCTCAGCGAAGGTCTTGTATTCTGGTAGTGTGTGATGAGATTTTATATTTATTTAATCAAACTGTAAAGCATGTTCAGAGTCATGTGCAATATTGATGTTGTGTAATAGATGCATGAGAAATGTGTGTATATAACAGTTTTTTATCAATTGTACATAGCAGTATAGATCTATATGAGCCGCGTCATGACAAAACCAACCTAATACGTTTGCGACCAGCATGGATCCAGACCAGCCTGCGCATCCGCGCAGTCTGATCAGGATCCATGCTGTTTGCTTTCAGTTTCTCTACTTGTAATAGGGTTTGTAGACGAACAGCATGGATTTATGCTGGTCGCAAACGCACTATGTTGGTTTTGTCATTACGCAGCTCAATTATTATGTTCATTTTTATTGTGTGGCATTCTTAATTATGCCAAATGAATGTTAAATTTTTACAATTATGGTGTAATGTTGCTTTTTGTTTTGAAGCAAAGTTGTTGATTGTATGTTTTCTTTTAGATACACTATTGTTATCTTTATATATACAGAGATATATATGTATATAGTAATAATTTGTTGTTAAACAAACATATGTACATACATATGTATAAATTAATTTTATCTATTATGATGAAGAATTCGTATGACATTGAACAATAAAGGAATGGTATATATTGAAAGTGTTCTCATATATGTTTTGTCTGTTTATTTTGTAAAGCCTAAAAAAAGCCTAAAGGCATATTATGGTGTAAGTTTTTTGTCTTGTCCTCAAACAATATTTTTTGAGTTAATTTCATCATTGTTAACACAGGAAATTATCTGATATACTTAATTATCCTTATTGTTCATTACATGAAGTTTGCAGTGCAACATGATTTTGAGGCATTTACTTTGCTGATAAATTTACATTAAGCTCCTCTAAAACATCTAACCATCATAGATATACAAGTATATACCAAGGTTGTTCAGTAATTACATATATATTATGAAATAAAATTTCATCACTAAACATTACAAATATTCTTCTAACAATATCATGTCTGAGAGTCATATTTGAAGTAGATGTCAGTACTTACGAGAGAGACAATATCCCAGATGCATAATTTAACAATCTAATAAATGAATTAACAGAGGCTACTTTCTTTAATTGTTATTCTATAAGTAAACAAAATTCAAACTAAACCATTCACATCTCTAGTGTTTTAGGTAAGGCTGGCTCATATTGATCCAATACCAATGCCTGCTTACAAATAGTCCTACAGCCATTGTATGCTAGGGTTTTCTATTATTAACAACTGCAAAATCTATATTGTTCCACATAAATGTCGAAATATAACCATATAAGAAGAATTCATATTCCGACAAATGGTAATGAACAATTTGAACTTATTTACAGGATCATTTTATAATTTTACTGTTCATTTCAAGGAGTAATGCCGTGGTACAATAGATGCATATAAGGACATGTGACAGCAAAACAGTGGCCTTGGAAAATAATCATTTTTACATATGGACAAAAAAAACAGAGTTTGTAAATTAATCTTTTATAAAATGTGAAGCTTTGCTAGGGCTGTTTGGGATATTCAAAAATAATTTGTGTCGGATATAATTTTGGCATTTCTTTGTACTTTGATAAAACCTGATTACATTTGACAGTTACTTATGGACACATATATTACCTTGTTTATTGGTTGAAAGGTGCAAATACAAGTACATATTTATTAATGATTCATATATTATGAGGAGGATTTGTTGTTTTTTAGGAAAAAAAGACAAAATATATATATAATTATATATTTTTTTATTTATTTATTTTTTGCTTTCAAGATATTCCCATCATCAAGAGTCTTTGTCTATCCATGTTTATGCATTTATGTTCTGTAGGATAAAAAAATTGGAGACATTTTTCTATACCCAGCTGTTATACCCTTCAGTTAAAATTGTTATAAAGGTTTAATGAAATGATATTGTCTGCCCTGTCCAGATGCATGTCTAACAACTGGTTAGTCAAATTTTGATGCAACTTCGCATGCATGTATAAAAGGCTATTAGACTTCTAAAATGGCATTGAAATCCACTCTTTAGCATTGAGGTATGGCATCTTTTACTTTATTATATAGTTAAGAAAGACTGCACAACATTTCACAATGTCTTAATAATGTGTTGTCATTATATCTCAAAGAAATGTCATATATTGGTAAGATATATTCTGCTTCACATTACTATAGTGTGTGGATTTGGTGTTAAAGATATAAAATTCATTTTCACTCTAATTCTTAGGTAATTAATACTAAGGAGCTTTAATCCTGTGATTTGTATCATATGTTAAGGGAGATCATTTCATTGAATTTGTTTTATTTTGTTCTTTTAATTCTATGTACATTGTACATACGAAAGAGAAAATTGTGTAGGAAGTATATGTGTGTTATTTTCTTAACTTAATCAGACCTGTTGTTAGCTCATACATGTATAAGCATTATGTCGCTCCAGGGTCAGTCAGCTGTCTGTTGTCCTCAGTTTGGTTGTCCTTAGTTTGGTTGGTAACAATACTTGGCTTCAGTATGTCTTGAATAGTTTGAACATTGGTCATCTGGAATCAAAACCGGGTTTTAATGTTGGCCATCTTGGTGTAATAAATACATGAAGGTCACCCAGTCAGATCAAATGAAAATGTTGTTAAAAGTTACTTACAAAACTCAACACAAGTGATGTTTGTGTGAAAACTAAATTAAGTTTTCCTAAAATTAATAAATTCAGGGTAAAGGAAAGTCATTGTTGAAATTCGTTATTTAGTTGAAGTTAAATAATAGAACATTTATTACATTTGATCAAAAACTAGGTTACTGGCTTAGACTAAAGGAAAGTCTCTGTGTTCCCCATAAAGGTTCACACCTTTAATATGAGCTTGAAATTTTAAGAAGTTACTCAGGTGAGCGATAATAGGCCTTTGATGGCTTTCTTGTTTTAAAAATATGATCACCAGTAAACTTGAAATAAAAATAAAAGAAATGTTTAAAGATTTTTGTGTTGGAATTTATCATTTATAGCATCTGGTAGAGATGAGTTTAATTTGATCTAACTGCCTATTTTTCATGTAATACTTTTAATATGTTTCTTGCCAAGTTCATATTGATTCTCAAGTTTATTATCCCCCTCCTTTTTAGGCGAGTAGTCTCCGTCTGTCTGTCCTTCCATTCGTCCTGTCCGGAGCATATCTCAAAAATTATTTAAGGTAACAACTTTAAACTTCATAGGTGGATAGATCATATTGAGGAGTGCAGTGGACAAGAATGATAACTCTACCCTGCATAATTTTTCAGTGACTGCCTTTTGTTATTTTTCAAACTTAATTTTTGTCCAGAGCATAGCTCAAAAAGTCGTTGAGATATCAACATAAAACTTCATAGGTGGATAGATTTCACTCGGGAGGTGTGCAGTGCACAAGAGTGATAACTACCCTTCATAATTTTTTAGTTATTGCCCTTTGTTATTTTTCATACTTAATTTTTCACGTGAGTGGAGCATAACTCAAAAAGTCTTTGAGATGTCAACATGAAACTTCGTAGGTGGATAGATCTTATTGAGGAGGAATGCTGTGCGCAAGAATGATAACTCTACCCTTTATGATTTTGAGTTATTGACATTTTCATACTTTTTGTACAGAGCTTATCTCAAAAAGTGTTAGAGGTATCAACTTGAAACTTCATATGTGAATAGATATCATTGAGGAGTGCAGCACACAAGAATGATAACCTACCCTGCATTATTTTTCAGTTATTGTCCTTCACATAGGTTTCAAATCTGTAATCACTTCAGCCATTAGTTTTCATTACCAAAAGACCTCTTAAAATTGAATTATTCTGCTCTACTACATATACATTCTTCCAATTAGCAAACACATTCGGCGGGGGTGGCCATGTTAAGGCGGCTCTTGTTTCTGTTGAACGATGTAGTTCGCCCAAAGAGAAGAATACTTGATGATTTGTCTGTCTCAGTTTTGAAACTTGACATTTTAAAAATGTACTAACATGTTAATAAGGTTACTAGTATACATGTTTATGTTTATAAGATCAGAAAGTTATTTTTCTACAAGTGAAAACAGTCGAAATCAGTCATCGTGCATGAAAGCTGTCGGAACATTGGTCATTTGGACTCCAGTACAGCTCTTTTTCACTAAGTTGCTCATGATCAGTATAACGTGGTCATCTATGACTTTCAAACAGGTGTCGAATTTGAGTCCCAAATGACATGTTGACTATATAGTAATACAGCAGTCAATTGTAGCCACGACTCACCCTGCCCCTTCGGAGGGCCGAGAAAAATTAGCGAGTGTTTTACCTTTTGTCTCTCCCACATTGCCGTGCCAATGTTGTGAATAGATTTTGCGCTTTTGTCTGTGCCATTGTTGTGTTTAGTTTTATCGCTATAAACTAGGAACTGTGGTAAACTAGTTTATAGACACATGTTTTGTTTGATGTGGTACTACTTCCGTTGCAAAACAACTTATGAATTGTGATTTTTTGAAAGCATAGTTCAACGCTGTAAAGCTTAAATAACGCAAAAGTTGCAGTAGCTAGGTTGTCAATCTTGAGAATTATCTTTAAAAATAACCACTTTTCTGGAAAATATTTGTAAATGCGGGTTATAATGTCTAAACATTATGGTATGCGTTACTAGTAATTCATTTTTTTTAATATGATTTACATGGAATATATTGGTCCATTCCCTGTAACGGTTTTATGTTGCACATATTCAGCGTAAATATTGCACGATTCCTGCGTCATTATATTCTGCGTTAGGGTTGACTCATTCATGCGCAAGTTTATTTGATTATCTCCGTATCCATACAAATACATAAACACGAGAAGCGCTCCCAAAAACAAGTTGGCTTCATCTCTTCAAATTGCAAATTGTCTGCGCAAATTGTACATGCCATTGTCGTGGTGAACACACCATGTTTCTTAAATGCTCAACTACAAATTAAGTATACTGTACAGGGCAATCTTTTTTCAATCATTTCTGCGCCAATTTGATGCTTTGCGCCAGGATATTTTTCTTGTGTCTCACCGTGATTGCAACCATTTCGTTCGCATGAGCTTTCTCGTCCAACCCAATGCGAGAGATAATTTGTTGAAAGACGGTGAAACGGTTTCGTCTTATAATTTGTGTAAATTAACAAAGACTTTATTCCGTATAATAAAAGAACAAGCGACTATCTTTAGAATTTATTCATATAACGTTTACGTTAGATTACAATTAATTGCAGAATATAATTTGGTATACAAAATACAACACCACACGTAATTGATATACTTTTTTTTATATACAGGCACACTCTATATTTAAATGACATTATGCCCATCCAAGGGTATATAGTAAGTGAACAGGTTCTGCCATAATTTCTTGCAGTTTTATTATTTACTTAGCAAGAACGATGAATAACTCACATGGCCCAATGAAATTTCTGTAAATATCTATCGGAATTTACTTGCCACATACAATTTATAAAAGGAGTGGGGCAGTCTTTCTATATTATAGGTAGATGTATATTTCATTCCAAACATTTTCCAGGATGAATTGTTGATCAATTATCATTATAACAGGCAATCTTATGAAATGTATATAGTCATTTTGGCTCAATTTGACAATGAGAAAATGAGCATAATGTCACTGATGATTGTCATTGAAACAACAAACCTGTATAACAAAACAATAAAACTGTCTCAGTTGTTCATTGAAGTAACATTTTACAAAAAACAACAAACGAAATAAGTAACAAAGCAAAAAAAAACCCTCAGTTGTTCACTTAAATTACATTACACAAAACAAAAAGAACAACAAAACTAGCTTAGATGTTCAAGGAAATAATACATTACAAAGCAATAAAACTATTTCCATTGTACATGTGCGTTTGCAACCAGCATGGATCCAGACCAGCCTGTGCATCCGCGCAGTCTGATCAGGATCCATGCTGTTCGCTTACAAACCCTATTACAAGTAGAGAAACTGATAGCGAACAGCATGGGGATCCTGATCAGACTGCGCGGATGCGCAGGCTGGTCTGGATCCATGCTGGTCGCAAACCCACGATGTTGGTTTTGTCATGACACGGCTCAAATAACGTTTCACGCAAACAACAACAAAAATAACTTTAAACAGTAAATGTTGTCTCCTTAGTTAATTAAAATAACAAACCCTAATACAACATTAATAAAATAATGGCGTCCAAGTATTTTAAACATAAAACTTTTCTTTTATTTCAGATAATATTAGTAATATAAATAAATAAAATATGTAATAATAAAAAGATGTGCATTGAAAAAGACAATACGTATAACAAAATAATAAAAGTTTCTCAGTTCATTTTTGTAATATTTCATGGAAACAACAAAAATATCTTAAATGTTCAAGTAAAACAATATTACTGTCCTAGTTACACACAGAAGTAACATTTCACAAAAACAACAGCAACAACAACAAAACTATCCTAGATATTCGGGTAATAATCCATATGAAAACAATAATATTGTCTCTGTTGTTCATTGAAATAACATTTTACAAAAACAACAAAGCCATTTAGATATTCAATGAAATAATAAAACAATAATATTTTCTCAGTTGTTCACTGAAATAACAAACTCCAATACAGCACTAATAAGATAATGATTCTGTTGACATAGAAAATTGATCGATTATCAAAGGTATGTTACTTAACATTCAATCTCCCAAATAATTATAGTTTTACACTATTTCTTTAAACATGCATTATTTTAAATCACGTAACCGTTATTAGTAGAATTTTAGGAATTTATGACTAAAAAGATGTAGAAAGAAGAAAAGATGATAATTCCAATGAACATTTCGGGAACAGTAAATTTCAGCAGAATTTGAACAAAAAACAAAAAACGTTTTCGCCATTGATTAAACATCAATTTTTTGTTAAACATTAGGTTTTTGATGCTTTTTTTCTATATGGTTAGCAAAACAAAAAGTTTAATACAGAAAACTACGGTGTCCCTAAAGTGACGTTTAACAAAAAATTAATACGTTTTAACTTAAGTGTTATGGATGTCACTTTAATTAAGGATACCGTCCTATTCCTAAGATTGGTACAAAACAGTAACAAATGTCATTTTCTTCCAGGAAAGATACTAAGTAATTAAAAGCTTGGTTAATCTAAACAGTTTTAACGAAAAATTTACTCATTCAGGTATCTACTTCCGTTGTATACAAGATAGTAACAATTCTTTAGTTTCCGCTCGAAATCGTGATCCACTTAAGAAATAGATGAAGAAATTCGAAGCATGATTTAAAAAGCCAAGGAAAGAAAATAAATTTAGAAGGACCGCATAGTTGTTGTAGTCGTCAAAGGTCCAAAATCTGTATTTATTCAAATTTATCCAAATTTGCATATAAATTTCGTGTATAATTTGTGGGCTAACAGTAAGCAGGTATACTAAATTCACCAAAAGCAAAGTTATAGTAATCGATTTTATTTGAGCCTTGTTAGACTTGCTTTTCCGCAGACGATTTTGTAGTAGGGAACTGATGGTGATAAGGGTGCACACGAAAATAATGAGTAAAGGTAAAATAGTTAGTACAGAATGCAAAATAAGATCTATATTATAGACATCTATCAATGTTTTCTCTACATAGCAATCTGGTTTACGGATAACACGTGTCAGAAATACGATAAAACTAGCGTTAAGGGAAGTTTTGGCCACACTTAAAATCCAAACCAGAATGACGTAGAAACGTGCAAAATTTATAGTAAATATGGTTTTGACTTTAAGTGGCAATTTTACACTCAATGCACGTTCGATGGAGATAGCAACTAACATCCAAACGGATGCATACTGGCCAGTTTTGGTAAGAAATGATCTAAGCTTACAATCCAAATCGGAATATGCAGCTAGTATTAAGTTATTTCTCATAAGCCATCCTTCAAGTAAACTCAATATGACAAAAAAGTCCGCTAAAGCGAGGGAAGAAATGAATATAGACGTTGAAAAATGACGA